AATAGCAAAACTCCCTTTTCAAATAGCAAAACTCCCTTTTCAAATAGCAAAACACCCTTTTCAAATAGCAAAACTCCCTTTTCAAATAGCAAAACTCCGTTTGCTATCTCGTAGTCTGAACATACTTTTCAGAAACCTGTACTTTATGAACCTTATTTTTAAAGACTAAGTACACATTGAGCATTGAGTACTGAGTTTGTTCTAGCGCAAATACGCGGCAACAACCATTGGCGTACCAGTCAGGTACGACTAGAAATCTTGAATGATCGCACCCTGCTGGTGTACTAATTATAGCAACCTTTAGTTTGGCAAGTGGGAGTACATTTAACTCTGCCTCAAAAATTGACCTTTGAAGTGCGGACATCATGCCATTTTCAATGCGATGTCGGATACATATGGGTCAACTACTCATTGTTTGACAGTGATGTGATGTAAGGACTTCTAAGGTCAATTGGTTTGTGTAACACAGCCTAAAGTGAGTTCAATACCAAACATATACAGCTAATTCAGAAAAGGTTGTCCTTTGTAAACCTTAAACTCTAAGCGTGCAAAGCATAATGGGAGCATCATTTAATCAGTTTATAAATCATATATGGGGCCCATTTCTTAGAGACATGGTAAATATCTCCTTACAGAACAATTCATTCACAAATAGCTGCAATATTCAACTGCTAAGCTTGAAACTCCCATTAAGCTTTGCGCGCTTAGAGTTTAAAGTTTAGAGTTTACGGTTTGCAAAGGGCAACTTTTTTTAATTGGCTGTATACTTTATATGATCAAGTTGACAGCATTGAGATTGTGTTTGAAATACCTAGGATATTGATTACCGTGTGCGAGAGGCAACACAACATGCAATGAATCAAATGACATCAAGAGTTGGCAGGAATTTTGCACCACATTTGAAAAGTGTGACGGGTGTATGGATGTGTTCACAGTGCGATGCGTATCTGCCAGTTGCGACAGCTGCACAGAAAGCATTCACAGCTGCTTTCTCTGAAAACAAGCAAGCTGAAGTACTGGGCTTTTGTAAGAAGGAAATTAACGAGGTGCTTAAAATCATATATATTTATGGTAGCATAAACTTTACAAAAGCTTGTTGACAAATAGAAAACGTTAGAAGAAGCTTGATATAATATATAACTCTACCTCTGCGTTTCATACATACATGAAGAAATAAATAAATAAAAATAGATAAATAGTTATATAATAATTCTAATTTATTGCATCTATCTGCTGATTTTCTGTAGTATCTAGTAGACAATCTAATGAACCAGACGGCAGAAACACTCAGTGATCCAGAGTAAGTACAACCAGGATTGGTTTTATTAACTGTACAATAAATTACACCATGCAAATACATCTACGATATATGCATTACTGAAGGCATAATATAGTACCAGAATTCTTTTAAAAGAAATGCCACCGTCACCACCGCAAACATACTTAACATTGATACTGAAGAAAGTGTATGATTTCATCAAACATTGGGTTATTCTAGTGTTGTAGATGACAAAGATAGGAGTGCAAAATATGTTCGAGTGATTGCCGCATCGCTACAAGCTCTTGGAAAATTTCTTAAGATGGTTGATGAAGATATCAGTAATGAGATAGTTCACTATCACACCAGCCTGATAGCAGAGAAGAAATTCTGGAAACTTGGAAGACATAAATCCCCTCAGGTTTGAATCAAGGTTTATCTGTTTTATCATCTTAAGTTTACAATTTTAGGTTGGTTATAATGTCAATTTATAGCATTTATAAAGCATTTATGACATATTGTATTCTATAGGACTACTATACTATACTATGTATATATATTATATATATTATTATATATATTATATATATTATATATATATATATATTATATATATTATATATTATATATATTATATAGGACTACTATATAATGATGTATAAACTTTTAAATAATATGGGTCCAAATTCACTTACTAATCTGTTTTCGTATAAAAGTGAATTAACAAACTATAACCTCCGGGATATTTCAAGTGGCCTTCACTTACCAAAACCACGTACAAATAATGTGAAAAAAAGTTTTATGTACGATGGTGCATTCCTTTGGAATTCAATTCCAAAAGAAATTAGGGGAAGTACATCCCTTAATTTGTTTAAAAAGAAAATTGCTACCTGCATTGACATTTAAAAAGCGCAATAAAGTACGTGCATGTATATAGAGGATTTCCTGTAAATAGCCTAACTACCTTCTTAATTTAGCTCATTGTAAATAAGTAGATTGTGTTCTTGTTAAACGTACTTTTATATAGTTATGTAAAGATATTTTGCACACTTCCCCCGTGGAAATCAGCTTAAGTTGACGGGGTCAACGTGTTTAAATAAAGTTTTTCTATTCTATATTCTATACACAATACAATACAATACAGTATTAAAGGGCTTAACAGTTCAGTACAAAACTGTATATTACAATACAGTACAGTGTGATAGATTACAGGAATGTACAGTATATTACACTACAGCACACTATATTACCATTACAAAAGAGTTCAATACAGTACAATTGTATTGTACAGTATTGCATTATATTGCATTCTATTGTAGATTATACTATATTATATTATCACTATAAATTTTACTCATTTGCACTCCATACTATTGCAATGCATTGAAAGTGACATAGTAGCTGTTTCCTTCTAGATCAGGGCATCTTTCTTTTTCCTCATATCTACCTACTGTCAAAGACAGCCAAGTATTATTGAATCATGTTCAAGCTCTGTATGTCCCATTGTACTGGGTTCCTTGGATGAAGCAGATGCCATTGTCTCGGGTCCTTTGTGGGAGGCTGTGTTGCAACTTGTCACTAGGATGAAGGTATACATACTGACCTATTCAGTGTTGTTTAGTTTAGTTTACGTAATGTGTTTACCACTTTGAGATAAATGAAAAGCCTTTCCAGCTAGGTTACATTACATATCAATTGATAAAAGGTATCTGTGAGTAGTTGTTTTGTCCGACCACTGGCTTACTAAGAGGTGAAAATAAACGTTTTAAACTTTTTACTCATTAGGATTGTTGGAAATATGTGAACATGGAGAAAGCTGTGTTACCCAAGTTTTGGCTGTTCTTATCTAATGCTGCTTATGGCAATGCTCATGTAGTTATGATCAGCGTATTGCCATTTATCAGTACATTACCAGAAGAAGTGAGTACTAGAATAGAATAATCTTCTGTGTGGTCCACGACTTTGATATAAGAAAGCTTTGGATTGATAGGGATGCAAGGTCCTTCGTCGCAGGTTTGTAGCTTGAATACAGTAATGCAAGGAAAGAAACATCAATTTTTTATTCTTATGCTCGGCAGGTCGTTTTTCCAAGTTCGGGTTTCGCTCAGAAGTTGCTTGAGAAAACTGTTGATGGTTTAAAGCTTGTCAAAACACAACAAAGTCCTTCAGAGTGTAAAGCAGTGTTGTCATCTTTCATGGACTGCGTGAAATACTTTATATCATTTGGATCAAGGCACTGGCAGATTGAAGTAGATAAGAATAATATGGAACAGCTTAGAACTGATGTTATCAATATGGTAAGGCATTTTTTGTGTGTGTTTTGATGTTATGTACTCAGGTGAACATAATGTTTTTGATGTTACTCTGAGTGTATATCCAGGTAAGCTGAAAAGTTAACCTGACCACGGTGGGAATCGAACCCGCGACCTTTGGGATAGTAGTCCAATGGTCTGCCAACTGAGCTACGTGGTCAAGTCTGTTCGAGTGTGTGGTATTTCGGAACTACAATAAGTCTAGTACCTTCGATACCAATGTGTTCTATGATCATGATATTTTTTGTGTGTGTTTTGATGTTATGTACTCAGGTGAATATAGTCAGGTTAGGTTTTCAGCCTGCCCGGTGTGGGTATACACTCAGAGTAACATGAAAAAGTCATGGTTTGGCATTGTTGGTGACATCATATGTCTTTCACATTTGTGACCAGGGTTCAATTTGCATACGTCGCATATTGAGAGAGAGTATGCTGGTTTTCTCTGAGTACTTTGGTTTCCTCCTGTACTAACATTTTGTCAATTTATTTTTTCCAGTTAACCAATGTGATTGAAATGTCACTTGCTGCCAAGCCACAGATGCGTCTATCTTCTTCTTTGCTTTACGAACGTCTGGCGGATTTTTTACGAGATACAGCTGAGGACGCAGAGATTCAGGACAATTTTTGGGAGGTTTTCGATCAATTAATTCAAGATAAAATGCTATGTTCGGAAAAGGTAATTTTGGAACATGTGTCATGCCATGTTTTATATATACCTTCCCAATTAACATAGACTTATATTGTACCATACATTTCCAAACCATTCAAAACCATACCATACTTGATACCTTGCTTACCATGCCATACCACACCATACCATGTCATACCATACCTTACCTTACCATACCATACCTTACCATACCATACCATACCATACCATACCATACCATACCATACCATACCATACCATACCATACCATACCATACAACTGTAGCATATGGCGCCATATGCCATACTTCACCACCCATTATTTCTATCTTGTCTAGGATATGGCTCCCACATTCCAATCAATTGTTAACCTCCTATCCTGTCTAAAATCAAAACAATCACTACAAGAATCTGAACCATCAAAAGTCCGTTTCCATGAACCAAGTGACAGCGAAGATCAATCTACCACCACTAAAATCAAAACTAAAAGACATACCAAAGGTTCTGATGTAGACATCAACTTACTCTATGGAGGGAGACTGCTGGCCACTGTGAGCAAAACTGTGTGTTCATGTCTTGAGAGAGTGTGGTCAGACAACTCTGAAACTGATCTTGTTCTTGTAACTGAATTGGTCCACGATTTTTTCTCCACTTCTCTATTAAATGACATTCTCATTACCGTGAAGTCACTTTGTGCAAGCGACTTCACAAGTGGCACTTCAAGTGATGCTCAACATCCTGCCGTTTGTACACGGTGTATTGATGAGTTGGTTTTACATCTTCTGGACAAAGGTCAACAAAGTGAAAAATGGTTGTCGTGTACCGTACAGTTGCTGTTCCTGCTTCTTGTTGAAATTGACGACAGTGAACAGAAATGTGTTCTTGAACGTGTGTTTCAGGTAAGGAAAAAAAATGCATGTCAAAAATTGTGTGATGGAGCATGGTGGTTAGTACTAATATGCCTTTCACCGTTGCGACTTGGGTTTCATTCCTACAATATGCAGCTATGTAATTTCTCTTCAATTGCATATGAGACTACCAAACTCCGCAGGTTTCTCCGGGTAGACTAATTTCTTTCCATAGTAATACAGATGGGATGGCCTTATTACTATAGCTATCCAGTATAAATGAATTGGTTAATTTGATGAATATTGTGACATCTTTAGATCAACTCTTCACCTGATCTGCTGTATCTGATTGTTAACGAGGTAATGTGACCACAATTTTCTGTCTGATTTGACCTTATGGAATAACTACCTCAGTTGATAATGACTTTATCCTATTGTCTTTTAGAACTTTATCTTATCCTGTTGTCTTTTAGATATTTAAAGCGGATTATTATCTTAATTGGTCATACTTGCATGGAATTCAGATTGGGACAAAATTTGCAGAAGTGCTGAAAAAGTCTTTATCCAGCTTCGACGAGGAAACAGTAGATACAAGTAGCGAGAGATTTTTGTGGAAAACTTTGGATCTATGTTTTTTACATTCACACTTATTAGAATTTTTCTTCAACGAGAATGCGGCAAGTGAAATATTCAAAGTTTTCCACCTTGTTCTCTCGCAAGAAAACGTTGCTTCTTCAAATATAATTTCCGTTGTTCAACTCATTGAGAAATATATTCAGAACAAGGAAGTCACTTCACGTCAGGTGTGTATGGTATAATATGTCGCTGTTAAGGCTAAATTCACACTATCAGTTTCCTTAAACATTTCTTACAAATCTTGACTAGTGTAAACCAGCCTTCACGAAGGTAGAAGTCATTGATAACATTTCTCCTTTGCTTTATATCAACAGTATGAAGCATTGCTGAATAATGTGTTCATGGATGTTCTTCAGTTGAGACTTCGAGGACAAGAACAAAGTAAGAATATCATATCATTATGCGCTGATACTTGGCAGTTATGATTAGCTTAAGTTTGATCTTTTCGTTCATATCCCCATACCTTATTCTTTTATTTTGATTTTCTTACAGCTCATGTTACTCAGTGTTGGAATTCTTTGATTGATACTGCCATGTCTGACACATCCTGGACTGACATGGTTATATCACAAACTGGTCAACAAATCCGAGATTTTCTGTGCACCGGTGACCCCATCACCTTCGAAAAGTGAGTTGTGATACTAATGTAATCACTTCGCTAGCACACACCGTTCCAGTTTCAACTGAACTGTCATTTTGTCAGCGTTTCCACTTTAAGGAATCGAAATTTCTCTGAAGAATATTACCTTATAGTTTGGACCTTGCTCATAATCTTGTTCTTATTACTACAGGTTCTCTGTTTTTACGGATGCTGCTTTAGAAGTAATCGACTCGGTATCTAAAAACGATTACGAGAATTTTAGAAAATTTTTAAGGAAATTATCACCGTCAGATTTAGACTGGGGTCACTTAAGAGATGACACGTTGTCAAAGGTAAATGTGATTGTTTCCTGTGGGGTGGCTAGTGCACACTTGTCCTTGACTCTATGTCTGTTTATTTTCTAGTCCACATGGGCAGTCATTCCATTCCTAGATGGCAGTTTAAGTTTCACACAGTTTCCAAACAACACATGTGTCAACGATCCAGAACACCTTACATCACATCAGATGTTATGTTTATTCCTTTCTCGTGTTTTTAAACAACGATACTCCACAACAAACTTCCCACAAGATGACGATGCTGATAGATATGAGTGGGTGATGTTTACCGAATTGTTGTGGCTAAGAGAGGTAAGTATGTGTGCACTCAGTAAGCATTGTGGTTGGTCAACTCAGAACTGTTGAATTAAACTGAATCTCTAACTGTTATCTATTTGGTCAAAAGGGCACGGCTTTCACTGGATCTCTAGAGAGAACAGTTTGAGCTGATATAAAACTTGTATAGTAATGGACCAATTTGGGATGATGGCCACCCGATGGCGCTTCTAAGCTCCGTTAATTTCATTTATTGGTTTACACTCATCTGTTATTTTCTTTTTAGTACCTCAAGCAAACAGTCGTCACACGAGGCGGAAGATTATCCCGTACCATTCTTGCTGCAATGGACACAAACCTTCAACCATTATTCAATGCCTTAACTGAAATATCTAGAGCTTCTTTATCAAGTCGTTTGCTTGCAATATCGAAATCCGAAGGCGGTCTTTGGTCTTTTACTTTGAAATCTGTGATGACTGCTAGTATTAATGACGAGTCTATGTCACATTTTCTAGTCGATCTTATGATGTCTGAGGAAAGGGATTACAATGAGCAGAAATTACAAACTTTGCAATGTTTATTGGGCGTGGAGACTTCGATATACAACTTGAAAGTTATTGTGGAAAATTACTCTAAGATGTTGGGGGAGATTGATGCTAGTAATGTCACAGGTAAAGGATCGGTCATTATTGATTCTAGCTCACCAAATAACTATCTAACAAGCTAGCCAAGTAACTAGCTACCACGCTACAACTAGCTAATTATGTCACTAATTATTTAACTACTTATTTAGAACTAATTAGTTAACTAATTAACTAACTAATTACTAAGAAGTATGTAGCAGTACGTTGTTCTTATTCTCCAGGTCAGATGTTTTGCTATAGCGTCCTCTCAAGTGCTTTAGAAAGATGGATTCATCTGTCGCAAGATTCCGATATAGCAGCATTGGAGTGTCGACTCACTTTGCTTGAAGTACTGAAAGATATAAAAACTCGTCAAGAGACAATGACCGACCAACTGCTTTTCAGTTGCTGTCTGGACGATGTGGAAGTATCGCTGATTTCTCTGAATTTGGCTATTATGAGAATTATGAAGATGGCCGTTATGAATTTTTCAGAAAGTATGGAAAGTGAGTTGTGGGATATGATACTGTGTTCCATGTTGGATTGGCTACAGGTTTGTATATGTATATATTGTTTTACCTTCTGGTCTCAGATGGAGTTTACCGTAGAGAGGGCATTGCTTTGGAACGCCGAAAGCTTTTTAATATTTTTTTTTCTGGTAGTTCAGACACAAGACAGGTTACACCAATAATCTTCTCCAAGTGAGAAACATCTGATTGTCATAAAATACCTTTGCGCTATTTCGTATGTAGAGCTGTCAAGAGAGTGCCATGGTCAACAACCATGTCAGTGCCATGACGAATCATGTTTGCCAAATGATTGAAGTTGTTGCCAAGAATCTTTGCAAAACAACTAATTCAGCGCAAGCAGAAGTCAATGTGGATGCTGATCGAACAGTGTTGAAGAAACTTTCTGATGAATGGCGGGAGTTTTTTAGTGTTTCAGCTTCTGGTAATCTGCTCCGACTGTGGTCAGGAATTGCAGGTAAGCAGCTGTTCATACGAGCCGGGCCAGCTCGGGATGAATCTTGTCACGTCACGAAAATTTGTTCTATTATATTATTACAGATGCCGATAATTCTAGCGGTCACCAACTCTCAGTATGTCATCATCGCCTGAGCGAGACGCTATCCGCTGCCTGCTGTTACTTAACTACAGACAATCTTAAAGAGTATATAACATCAAGTACTGGTGAGAAGACCGCTGAATGTTTGACTTGGGAAGAAGATTTTGTTCGGAAATTTTTACCATATTTGAAATCAAATTACAGTGCTTTCCAGTTAGCTGCCTATCGACTTCTACTGAGGTACTGCAACTTTCTATAAACCATCAACAATGTTTACCATTTCTTACCAGAGATTTTTAATTCGTCTGGCGCAACATATAACAATATAGCATTTTCTGATTTCATTCTATTTGTGTATATAGAGTTATTCCCTCTGTTAAAACTCCCAAGGAAGAAGAAGGCCAGTCAGGTGGAGAAGACGATCATGATGAACCTTGCAAGTGAGTTAAATAGTTTTGTGTGTGAGTACCATAACTCCATCCCCCCCAGTGAATCCATCCCTGGTGCAGCAACAACTCTTATTAAATAAAGTTATATGATAAATATCTGAAAAGGACAATGCGTCCTTTCTCTTTTCATACATAGATCACCACCGTCTGACCTGATTGAGTTACTCACAAAAAACCAAACCAAGCTCTCGTTCATCTTGTCTGAAGCCGAAGTACCTTTCGGAGAATCCCTGGATATGGAAGACGACCACGAAGCTTCACACATCACTCGTATCTATCTTCTGGCTTGGAAACTATTGCTCGTACATTTTACCAACTCCAATGAGGAACTCCGCGCGGGATATGCTAATTATCTGCGTCGCGAGAAATACTTGAATGAACTATTGGGAATAGTATTCAGGATATTGCCCAAGAAACCGAGGGAAAAGAGATGCCTTGTGGAGGAATCAAGTTTAGAGGAAAAATATTTGTTAGCAGAGGAGTTTGTTCATAATTTGGCATTTGAAACTTACTATGATCTACTGAGAACTTTGCCTGCGCTTGTGAGACAATGGTGGAATAATTTGGAGAAGAAATATGCAATGGTTGTGGAGAAGTAAGTTGTTCCCACATCGATAATCTGTTTTCTTTGTCTGATAACGTGTGAAAAGGGAAGAGCAGTAGTTTAGAATTGGAAAATGTTGGTAGTTAGTTTACACTATCAAAGTTTCTGTGATCACAGTAGGAATTTTGTATAGGTAAATTCTGAAGGACTTGTGAGAAATATTTTACGGAACGGACTCTGAATATGTGAAAGGAATGCCAGTTTCCTCCTCGATGACTTGCTTTAAAGCGTCGGCGGATTTACTGGGGGTTAGGGGGATAACCCCCTAGAGTGTCTCTAACCCCTCTTATAAAGTGTTCAACCCCACCAAAATTTCGCTTCACTCCTCCTATTTTGTGTGAAAGTCTTTAACCCAAACGCCTAACCCCTGCCAAAGCTCAGTGGTGCCGCTTGCACCCCATTAGACATTTTCCCACCCCACCTTTAAAAAAATGAAAATCCGCCCTTGTTTTAAAGAACTGGCAAGTTGCTAACTAAACATGTTGTACCTCACCAGGTACACGACATCGTACATCTCACCACTTCTGTGTGAAAAGGAGATACAAACCATTCAAAAAGCGACTGCAACGTACGACAACATGGAGATCGTGACTAGATCCAGTACTCGAGAGGTGATTGCGTACTATAAGATCGAGGATATATCTATTGAACTCATTGTAAGCTTATCATCCAGTTATCCGCTGGGGTTGATTAACGTCACCTGTGGAAAGAGGGTTGGTGTGAAATTAAACCAATGGCGGTTGTGGATGATGCAGCTTACTACATTCCTTATGCATCAGGTGAGTTAAGTGATCCTAGTGTTTTGCAATTCTTCAGCCGTTTTTCACTAGGCGAATGTATTCGCGTGAAGCAATTTTTCCTTTGTCGCCACATTGAAATGAATATAACTGGAATGCTACCTCCAACCGGAAATTTGAAGGCAAACTTTGAAGGCCAGTCTCGCAAGCGAAGAGCGCTCGATCAGTCAATCATGCTATAAACACGCGTGTCTTGACCTCCAGACACGCGTGTCTGGGGGTAAGATTTGGCCTCAAGAGAAAGATAGGCAGTTTATCTGAAGGTAGCGTTCCAGTTATATTCATTTCAGTGTGTCGGCATCGCTTATCACGTCAGCAAGCGCGATGCCAACAAAGGAAAAAGTCGCGGAGGAGCCAGGTAGTTCCCGCAATATCTATACAATTCATTATTGAAAGCACTTTCCTCGAATGTGACTGATTAAAAGCTCAGGGGCCGGTTGTATAAAACTCCTAATCACTTTTTTAATCACTATTTTGTAGTTAAATAGTGATCAACTCTCAAATACGCGCTTCTTATTGGATGACGTTTCCACTTAACCATAGTTAACTTTAATCACTTTTTTATACAACCGGCCCCAGGCATGAACCTTTGTATCACCAACGCTCCTGTAATCTTTAGTAAACTTTATCAAACTCACCAACTTCACGTACTTTTCAGAATGGCACAATACTGGACGGTCTTTTATTATGGAAACGTAATGTGGATAAGAAATTTGAGGGCGTAGACGATTGTATGATTTGTTTTTCGGTCATTCATGGTTCGAACTATTCATTACCTACCCTATCTTGCAAAACGTGCAAGAAGAAGTTCCACTCTGCTTGTTTATATCGTTGGTTTAGTACGAGTAATAATTCCACATGTCCTTTATGTCGAAACCTCTTCTGAAATACGGTGGTAAGGAATAGAGAAGTTATGGGTAGATTGCAGCCAGGTATGAAATCATGTCTAATCAATTTCTTCTGAACGATAAATCAGACACCATTAAGGCTGAGCCCATGGTAGCGTTCATCTGTAAGGATATGGTAAAGTTGAGATGTCAGCGGATGGATCTATGAAGTACTTCATCTTGTTGGACAACAATGAACGATATATAATGTTAGCTCAACTCAAACTGGGCTGGAACTAAACATTGTATTAACACAACTATATATTTATACTGATTTTATCTTGAATTTAGAATGATACAAAGTACAAATTCCTGATTTTAGGAATGATAACAAGGTTATATGATTCACATAAGAGAATTGTAGATGAGCCAAATTTATGCATTTTTTCTCAATTTTTTTACTTCGAAAGGTACTATTTCAAACGGTAGATGTTGAGCGTGGGTTGGCCATCAAAGGTGGGCGTCTTGAAATACAAGTCGGTTGTAGTAGAATTCGCGCTAGCCTATGCTGTATGTACAAAAAGCACGGGTGTCTGATGTGTCCAGATATTTCCTATTTAAAACTCTGATTGCAAGTACTGTGTTTAAAACTGCTCCGAAACTATAGAAGTGTCTTTGATCCAAGTACGTGACAGTGTAAACTTTTTTTAAAGAAAAAATTTCAAAGTCTTTGCGTCAATTAAGTTTTCTGACTTGCCACATTGATCATAGCGGAAACGTTCAGAGTGTGAAGTATAAAAAAAATACCCGTAACACATATTTCACCAAGACATGACACTAAGATCCAATAATTACAGCGTTTGTTTGCAAGCTGTCCGTCTGTTCTAATGACCCAGTAACCTGCTTATTTCACTTTTATTTGTTCGCGTTAACAAGTCAAGGGCAAATTATATATATATGCAAATTTAAGGTGTATATGAAAATAAGATTCACCGCTCAAGCATATCAAGTACTCGCCGAGAACAACGAAATTTGAAGAGTGAAAGATGTATCCAGCGGTGAGGCTTGAAATCCGCCACGAATTCTTCCCAAGTTGACCGAATTTGAAGCGATGGACTCGCCTGAGATTAGCCGCACTATACGAGTGAGATGTGGTGAGTTTATATCTAATAATCATTACGTATTTTAATAATTTATCTTCGCTAGTACGTGTACCTAATATTCATTGCATTTTCGAGATAATATTGTGGGTTTATTGTTGCTAATTCGACGCTGCACCTGTATCAAAGTCAGGCAGTTTCGTTTGAAATAAGGTGTAGATTTCTATACGTGTGCATTCAAACGGTCGCTGTCTATTCTCAAGGGTTTTCCTAAATTGTGGGTTGCTTAAGAGAGAGAGTGCTTGGCTAGCTATAAATGGGTATATTTAAAATAGGCTTATCGATACGCTATTATAAGCAGAGACACAATATCATGGTAAATTTGAATGTCCGTTCAGATTTAGTGCCATTTAAGAAGGTTAAGTTCAACCGATTTAGTGTTCCTGTTCTAGCATACCTGACAACATACTTACGTGGGTTCTATTTGATATTCAATGTTTACATTCTTTTCGCCTTTCGTGTATACAACATTTTCACATTATTGTCTGTAAGCGACACATAGGAATTCAACATTTCTAAAGGATTATATCTTTAAATTGTTGTATATTTAAGTCGGACTCTGAGCAGATACAATACAGTGGATTCACAGTAGCTTGCTTCTTTGATCCTTGACTTCAGCTTTAGTGATAATGACTGGATATTGTATTAGTTTCATGCTAAATACTTGATTTAGTTGAGCTTTCATTTTAAAATATGTATCATATTCCATACAAAGGCTCTCCTTCTTGTAAACAAAACTTTCTGACGTTAGACAAAATTATATGTTAAAGTCACAACCAGACATATAGAGTTTGACACGGCATGCAGAATGGATTTATCGTGATAGATTTAAAGGCTAATATTTTAATACTAATGTTTTGATTACGTGATCGAATATATTTCGATCAAACGTGTGTGGTGATGTAAACTTAGTGTTAACATCTTTATAAGAAATGTTTGCTGGCGTCACCTATTTTTCACCCGAAACTTTCACAGTGTAAAATAGAGCATTCTTCAAAATTTCTAACAAAACATTTTATTAGCCTTACATAAAGTATTGTGTGAGAGGAGTGCGTAAGATAGGCGAATTTGTTCGCACGCCAAGCGACTTTATTGTCTTTAACTTTGTCGGCATCGCTAATTGCTGACGTGATCAGCGTTGCCGACAAAGGAAAAAGTCTCGAGCGAACACATTCGTCTGGTGGAGAACTGGCTTGAGAGATGGTTTCATTTCGCCAAGAGACCGTAGGCGTAGTATTGGATTCAAGCCCATTTTGCCTCAAGTTGTCACGTTTCTTATAGCCGTGAAGTACTTCAAGTGTCCGGCGTGTATATTGGTAAAGAGCGTTTTGTATGTCATAATTACATTAGAGAAATCAGTCATATAGTCAATGGCTTTTTTTTTCAGTATCCTTACTATGATGATAGTGTGGATCTTCGTTGGAATTTTCATACAATTTTCATATATGAAATAGTATGGATATACTATGGATTTAGTAAGGAAAATTGCAAATTCCATGGTATGAATTTCATTATTTTCCTGTGAGCTATACAAGTGGTGTATCAAGGTTGACTTCACAAGAATTTCGTTGCATTTTTTCCGATATTTAATAGACGCTATGTCTGTCTTCCAACATTTTGGTTACGCCAGCTGAACTTTTATTGTTCAAATGCAACCTGTTTTACCGGGTTTCACCTCCGCTACGCCCACTCACACTTTTTTAACGAATTATTTGAGTTATCTTGTATGCAAATAATTTGCAAAGAAATATCACGTACAGATATTAAAAGAGAACTCGAAGGGGGAAAGCAAGAATGAGACTCAAGCTGCGACTCTTCATACAAGGTGCGACTCTTCATACAAGGTGCTCTCTCCCGTCCGAAAAGGTGTTGTCCAGAGTATAATCAGTCATATGAATGTCATCACTGCGCATTCTTTCGACTTACATAAAAAACACTCCATTGACATTGTTTCTGTGGAGAATGAAGATGACGAATGACTTAAGCACTTCTCTCTGTCAAACGCCGGATGATTTTATTTGATAGACTTTTTCAGTATAGGGATTTTATATTCTTCAGAATGACAATTTTAGTGTTTTGTTGATTGTATTATCACGATTAATTAATTCATCACGATTAATAAATGCGGTTGAGGTATTTACGGCTTATTTATAGTTGAGGAGGTTTTCCAACAATCTTTTGCCTAATTCACTTTGGACAAAACAGTTTCGCAAGATTAAATCGGACATTTTGTGATTGTATCAGAAAACTACATCTTGTCGGAGTTGAAGCCTATTCACTTGCACTAACCACCAATACACCTAATTTATCCCCACTGAAATATTTCATACCCGCATTCCGATTTTTAATTATATATTTTAATGATAATTTTGATGAGTTTGATAAGTTTTTACCTTTTTCGGTAAAACTTGCAACAAAATTCCTTTGATAAAAGCGTCGCGCAGTTTGACATACCAAATTTATTAAAAATTTTAATTAGTACTTCAATTTTGATGTTGGCATTCCGTTTACGATTTACCAATCATTATAGCATATTTTAAATTTCTTGATCAATGGAGCGATAAATAGATGCAAAAGGATTGATTAACCGATTAAACCTTTCTTTGTTTTAGTAACAATTATGTAATTTTTTGACAGATTATTTAGAAAAAGTTTACAGACCTAAAAATTGAGATAATTCCCTTCAATTGTTGGAAGAATTGTGATCATGGGAAAATACTATTCAAATACAATTCAAATACTCTGATTCCATCCTATATAGAATTAATTATTCATTTTGAGTCAAACTAGAAACACAAATATTTCAATCACAGGCAGTGGAATAGAGGGAGGGGGAGTGAGGGGTGGGGGAGGGGGTTAAACCAACTGTATGCGAGTCCAGGGGCATACTTGCCGGACTCTAGCTACCACAAGAAGCAACCGATGTCAAACACTTTTTACTTTTAGATGAAAGAGAAGAAGCACATATACGATCATTCACAAAATGGATCAATTCTAAATTATCAAAGGTAAATACATGGTCATATTAGATTACTTCAAGAATGTCATTCACAAATCATTAAAATTTCGGCATGCACCCATTTGTAGCTGTAGTATTTTGTAGTAAAATGTTTTTTTACTCCAGTGGCATTCTTCAGGCGATGGAATTTTCTAAATGGTTGATGATGAATTTTCTGTAGATGTTATCTTTTGTGCTTCTGTATATGTTTTCCTGAACTAGTGCAATTCCTTTTTCATAGGCTCAGCCAAAAGTAAAAATCTCAGACTTGTTCGATGGCCTGCGTGATGGTCATGCTCTTTTGACTCTTTTGGAAATTCTCAGACACGAAAAATTGGTAATGTATAGTAAATGTCGGGATTTGGGAATCTCTGAAAAATAGCTAAGGCCCGTTTCAAACGTCGTGGTTCTCATGTGCCGAACCCATTGACAACAATCGATAATGAGGCTTCTCAACTGATTATCTATTGTTTTATTGCGTTCGGCACATTAGAAGCACGACGTTTGAAACGGGCCTACATGTTGATGAAGCGTTTGTGTAAATGGGAATAGACCTTACCCCTTTTAAGTGAAATTTTGATCTAGACTGATAGCCTGGACAAATCAGATGATCAAACTGATTATCAATTTCCCATTTGTAATACAAAATGACTGAAAAACGGGAAATTTCGCAAGGCTATATTATCCGCATTTTACAACATTTCGCAACGAAACTTCGGAATATTACTAATTTTGTGATGCTCTTTCAAGCTGTGATGAAATTTTTGTCCAGGCTAGTCTAGATCAAAATTTCACTTAAAAGGGGAAAGGTCTATTCTGAGTCTGTAGTTATTAGTCGAGGGCCCAGTATAGTTGCAAGCAGTTTTTTCAATTGCCCCTGGTTTGGTTTAAAAATGTATAACATTTACACGCGAAATTTCCATTTATAAAAACCTTTCAACATGGCGTGCTGGAATAGTGTAACTAAATATTGGAACAACTGTTTCATTTATTTTTCCTTGTATATTTTTTAGCGTCGCGAAAAAGGAAAGCTCCGTGTCCATCATGTAAGCAACATCCAGATCGGGTTGAAAACTTTGGAAAAAGATGACGTAAGTTATGTTCTCGTTTCTTTTATAAGATAAGATATTCTCTGTGCAATGGAAAATCCTCTCACTGCACAGAGCACAATGCCCCCAATGGCTAGTTTCCACTCAGGAAAATTATCCGTGGATTGGAACGGACAAGAACATTTTTCTTTGTGTTAAAGTCATTAGTTCCAACCCAGAGCTCACAAAACAAAGAAAAATTTTCTTGTCCTTTCCAATCCACGGATAATTTTCCTGAGTGGAAACTAGCCTTTAGGGTTATAGGTAGCAGTTTCTAGTTTATTCATTGCACGCAGTTCACACGTGTACACTTTTAATTCACTTTCATTCGTATTTCCCATGTTCTAGATCAAACTTCATGGTATCAGCGGTCAAGCAATCGCGGATGGCGTTCATAAATCCACGCTGGGCCTTGTTTGGTCCATTATTTTACATTATCAGGTAATTTA